AGCCTAGCCTATCCTATCCTATCCATCTATCTATCTACCTGCCTATCTATCTATCTACCTATCTATCTTTCTAATCTTATCTTACCGTATCTTATCTTATCTAATCTTATCTTATCTGTCTATCTATCTTATCGATCTTATCTATCTTACCTATCTTATCTATCTCATCTATCTTATCTATATTAACTATCTATCTAGTCTACCTAATCATCTAATCTATCTAGTCTATCTAATCTATCTAATCTATCTAAAGCATCTACTCTATCTAATCTATCTAAAGTATCTACTCTATCTAACCTATCTAATCTGTCTAATCTATCTAATCTATCTTATCTATCTAATCTATCTAATCTATCTAATCTATCTAGCCTATCTAATCTATCTAATCTATCAAATCTATCTAACCGATCTATTCTATCTAATCTATTCAATGTATCTAATCTATCTAATCTATCTAATCTATCTAATCTATCTAATCGACCTAATCTACCAAATCTATCTAATCTATCTAACCTATCTAATCTATCTAATCTATCTGCTCTATCTACTCTATCTACTCTATCTACTCTATCTTGCCTATCTACTCTATCTTGTCTATCCTGTCTATCCTGTCTACCCTGTTTATCCTATCTATCTTATCTATCCTATCTATCCTGTCCATCCTATCTCTCCTATTTATCCTATCCATCCTATCTATCCTATCTATCCTGTCTATCTACTCTATCGGCTCTATCTACTCTATCTACTCTATCTACTCTATCTACTCTATCTTGTCTATCTAGTCTATCTTGTCTATCCTTTCTATCCTGTCTATCCTGTCTATCCTGTCTACCCTATCTATCCTATCTACCCTATCTATCCTATCTATCCTATCTATCCCGTCCATCCTATCTATCCTATCTATCCTGTCCATCCTATCTATCCTATCTATCCTATCTAGCAAATCTATCGAATCTATCCAATCTATCGAAACTATCGAATCTATCTAATCTACCTAATCTGTCTAGTCTATCTAATCTATCTAGTCTATGTACTCGATCTTCTCTATCTACTCTATCTACCCTATCTACTCTATCTACCCTATCTTGTCTAGCTAGTCTATCTTGTCTATCCTGTCTATCCTGCTACCCTATCTATCCTATCTATCCTATCTATCCTGTCCATCCTATCTATCCTATCTATCCTTTCTATCCTATTTATCAAATCTATCCAATCAATCCAATCAATCCAATCACTCCAATCAATCCAATCAATGAAATCAATGAAATCAATCCAATCAATCCAATCAATCCAATCAATCCAACCTATCCAATCTATCCAATCTATCTATCTATCTATCTATCCATCCCATCTATCTATTCTAATCTAATCTAATCTGATCTAATCTAGTCTAGTCTTAATCTAAACTATCTATCTATCTATCTATCTTATCTTATCTTATCTTATCTTATCTTATCTATCTATCTATCTATCTATCTATCTATCTATCTATCTATCTATGTATCTATATATGTATACATACCACAGTTGAAAGATTGATTCACGTACAAGCCAAGCGTAATCTTGCGTAAACACGTCGTGCACGTCTATGATACACGCACTTGTTGAACATTGCAATATTGTTGAAGGATTTAGGCAACTTCGAGGATGGCCACGGGCAATCCCTTGCACATGCCAGGCGCGCCAAACTGGGCCACTGCCAACATCTTTGGGCGCAGACTTTCAACACCTGTGGGTCAAGTAGATCTCTCAGTGCGGCGGGGAGGAGTTTTAATTGCACACGCTGGGATGCAGCGGGATAATGTATGATAACGTGGGATACAGATAGATACACTGGGTCTATTCACAAAATCATCCAACAATGATGTACTGCATATATAGATGATTACCACACACACACATATATATATATACCACCATTGTGATCTACCTATAAATTAAACATTGTTATTTTCCAGTTTGCCAACAATGATGTGTGCCCTTTTCAGACTATGCAAGGCCATCGTCCTGGCTCATCGGGAGTTTAGCACTGGGGCTGAGGCAGCTGATACCAACATTCTTGACGGCTCCAATACGGAGGTGATGGGCTGCGTATGGTGTAGCTGTTAGTGTGGTTACTGTTGCAGAAGTGTGCGCGTTTTGGAGATGCAGGAACTCGTTTGCTGCATGCTTATCTTTCTGGGTGTCACTTGAAGTTGAGAGCAGAAGTTTGGATAGGTATGCCAGGACTTGCAGGAATCAGGTTGTGCAAGCATTTGCATGTTTCTTTTTGCATTTTTGTGTGCCTCCTTTGATTGAGATTCATGAGGCAAGATCCTTTGTCATTTCCCCGGTTCAATGTGCAGAAATCACCCCCCTTGAAAGCTGCAGCAGGCTTCAGCTCAGGACGATCGTCCATTTCTGGTGTGAGGGATCCCTTGGAGCCACCAAAGATTTGTGATGCTCCAAGGCCCTAGGGCAAGTCGGAGAGGCTTTTCAGAGAACGAAACTTGTTTTTTTCTTGAAAGATTTTGGGGGTACTGTCTTTAGGAACCCAGATTCATTCGGCAGCGACTCAGAAATGCCTTCGGCAGTGATGTCAGCTGGTCCTACAGCTCTGCCGCAGCATTGCCTTCGCCTTCTATCGTTGGAGGCGATGCAGGCGGCATCGCACGTTGCAGGGCCCAATGCCATGCAGAGCGGAGTCAAAAAAACATCAGGATGGGCCGAGTTTGGAGCACCAATCGATGTGGAAAATAGACAATTTTGAGCATTTATTCAATTTATTGTTTCTTTGCTTGGAACTTGTGGAGAGCAAGTAATGTGTTGTCGATATAGTTGCCAAAATGGCTATGCCATTTTAGCTCAAGTCCTCCCCTTGCGATCAAGCATATCGAAAAAAATCCGACTTCCTTTTCTTGCCCATGGCTGCGTTGAGCCCAGTGGCGAGCGAACCGGGAACTTTGGCCTCTGTCTGAGTCATCGACATGGAGACAAATGATGGGGAGGACTATTTGCTGATTGACATGCCTGAAGCTGAGGCTGCGCCGGCCAAGGCTTCTCCAGGGATCGAGATCGATCCCACCATCACAAAGGAAACTTTGGATGCCCAATTGGCGGAGATGGAGAAGATCATGGCGTCTCTTGGACTGGGCGCAAAGCAGGTGTCGGGGACGGAAGCCCACGCTCCGATCCTCCGGCGGGCTTCGTCACCTCTTCGGGCAAGGCGGCCAATGAGACTCTCAAGATTCTCGAGGAAGAGACCATGACCCTCCTCTTCAACAAGGGCGATGGCACGTTCATGATTGAGGGCTGGGAGTCACTATTAGAATCCTCTGCGCGTTTTGCCAGGTCAGTCACGCATGGGGAGCTCAACTCACTTTTGGCTATATTCCAGAACTCATCCTGGACGGCAACCCTGGTTTCGAAGGTCTTGGAGGTCTATGGCATCGCGAAGAGGGCGGCTGAGCACAATGAGTTGCTGAAGGTGCGCCACATTTCACAGTGGGGTGGATCCATGATCAACCTGCAGGAGAAGGACCCAGGGGGCGGCTCCAACCATGGTGTGTTCTGACTGTAGTGCACCTTGGGGGTCCTTTTCAAAGTGCATGTTGTGCAATGACTTGAGTTCCATTAAACTCTCAGTCATCGAGGTTGATGGCCACACTTGGCAGCTAAGGATCACTGAGGCCGGACCGACCTGGGTGTTGGCTGATGCTAAGGTCACCAAGGATTCTGGCTACGTGGAAGTGGGAGATCTTGGACGCCCTCCGCCGGGAGCAGTGTCTGGCGCTGACCAGGGGTTAGTCAGCTTCTCAGAACAGGTACCTGCCTCTCAGCGGCTGACATTGCGCCAAAATGTGGAGACCTTTGAGATCTTCCATAAAGATGGAGAACGTCCCCCACGTTGGAGGAAAGGGACGCCACCCAGTCCGCAGTGATCTTCCACCCCCAAACGATCCAGGTGGTCAAGTTCAAGGCAGACCTCTTGGCCACGCAAGAGGAAGACACAGAGGCGGCACAGGAGAAGAAGAGGCAGCGTCGTGAGCAACAAAAGGCACAGGAAGACGCCGCCATGGATTCTGAACTACAAGTTCTGGTTTCCATGCAAGAGGGAGCCCACTCAGTGCAGACATCTGTTGGGGCCGGCACGCTCCGGCGATTGGACCTCCAACAGTTCAGGAACTTCCTCAAGCGGAAGCACGAAGAAAGCGGGGTTACCAACCGGGCCTTAGATGAAGAATTCAGGGCGCGCAAAGCTTTACTCAAACCCTTGGAGATTGCATCCTTCTCTTTGTGGCCAATGGAGTTGCAGCAAGCGTGGCAGGGGAACCTGTTTGCTCCCACTCAAGACCCACAGGGCCCCGAGCAATACGACATGGGCAATCTGAAGACGTCGTATCTCCAGATGAAGGAACTGCTGAAGGACAATCGTTGTCCTCTTGAAGGTCATCGTTTGATGTAAGACCTTCCCCAGACTCAGCTGGACATGTACACGTACCCTGAAGGAACAGAGAACTCACTGGAAGGACGCCTTCACTGAAGGCGGTGCTGGACTCCATCCTTCAGTACCACAGTCCGAGCCTGGGGAGGAGATTCGGAGCTCCGTGAGGGGCCTACGCAGAGAAGGAAGTTCTGGAGCAGATCCGGGAAACGGCCAGACATGGATCAGATCATGGGCTTCTTCTGGGCACCGGGGACGGCAGTAGCCCAGGGCACTGACCAAGCTGATCCATGGAGTGGTTGAGCATCGGTGTCTAGGTCCTTGCAATGGGTCTACACCCACTCCAGATCCTTGCAAAGGGTCTCAGTGGCGGGGGCACCAGGCTCGGCCTTCTTCACCGCACCCTAACAACAGCAGGAGTGCATGGATCGGGCGCGATGGAGAGCTTTCCACGCACGCCCCCCTGAGATGATCATTGCAGAGGCCAAATGGCGACACTGGAAACCAGGACGACTCAAGGAAGAGTCGGCCACTACCCAACGGAAGTTGGAATTCCATCTTCGAGAGAGATGGGCGGAGCGAGTCATCGGCATCCTCCTTCCCTATGCAAAGGACATCCCCCATATGCGGGCGGTGCAAGGCAACAAGGTCCAGCAGGAGTACCTTGACCTCTTGGGGGACACCCGCTTCCACACCCTCCGCATACACTGCCTGTGCTTCGAGAACATCCAGAAGTTGGGGTTCAACGTGATCCCTTGGAAGGAGAGTGATATCCGAAATCTCCTCAATACCATGCGAGACCAGGAGATTACCCCTCACAAACTCCAGAGCATTTGGAACACTCTGCGGTGGTTCTCCGCGAAGTTTGGGCTCATGGACCCGGATAGCCTGGAACGGCTCAAAGCCAAGAGGAAGATCATTCAGGAAGGGTTGGTGGAGACTAACATCAAACCACAGCGTAAGGCCAAACTCCCCTCCAAAGAGGTCATTGTGGTGCTGGAGAAGATTGCTGCGGGGGAAGGAGCGGCCAACACCAAAGCAGATGGGGCATCAGCCAAGCTTTTGTTGGACAGGTACATCTGCGCGATGACCAGATTCCAAGTGGCATGTAGTGCCAGTTTCAACGACCTCCAGCACACCAGCCCCATGGGGTACAAGTTCACGGAGACCACCTTGGAACTCCAGGCATGGCAGACCAAGACCGTTTCGAATCAAAAAGAAGCCAGTCCCACTGATCGCCCCGCTCTACTCATTCACGGGCCTGGACTGGTGGTCCATCGTCACCCAGGCATGGGACAGATTGATAGCCCAGGACAAGTTCCGGGATATGGACTATCTCATTCCAACTATCAGTTCGGACTTCACGGGCTTGATTCCACGCCCGGGCCAGGCGGACAGGACGCTCCGTTGGCTCAAAGATGCACTACACCGACAGGGTGCCCTGGAAAGCTCAACATTCCGACAACTTAGCTGGCACAGCTTCCGCGTCTTCATCCCGGACTGTGCCTACCAGCTTGGGATGCCCCGAGACCAACGGCAGTACCTGGGGAACTGGACTACCGAGATTACCGCGGATATCTACACCAGGGAGAAGAGGAAGGTCGTTCAACGAGCCTGGACTGAAGTTGCTGACAAGTTGGGCAAGCTGGACCTGCCAGGCGCGAAGCTGTTCCCAATCGACCTCCACATCAGCATTGGCATCCGGAGGTCCTGGACTTGGCCTCATCACCCCTGCGGGAGAGCCCAGAGAAACCGAGGTCACCTCCATCTAAATCCAGACGCCAGGCGCTGGAGGAGGGGCGGGCAGCCTCTCCGGGCGGAACGGCGGCAGCTGGAGCATATGCACCTCGTCTTCGGGACGAACCTCCTCATGGCCATTCTCTCCTTCCCCAGCATGCTCAAGTTGAATACCTAGAAGACTGGTACCGGTGGTTTTGGGGGAGGGACATCGCTGACAGACGCCCGGCACCCAATGAACAAGTCCTACTCTACGCTGAACGGAACGCATGGAGAGAGATCCACAATCTGGTCTGTGGTGGTTTGGGCCTCAAGGAAGCTATGACTCAGATCAAACAGGACACTCTCTTCTGGACTCGGGATGTCTACGAGCCAGTTGCCAGGCAGAAAGGGCATAAGGGCTCCATGGGACCGGACTCGCCAGGTCGGCAAAAGGAAAGCAGCCTCACTGGTCGCCAACTCAGCCACGCTGGAACAAATCCAAAGGGCCGCGGGGAAGCCCAAGGGAGCCATGGGCGCGGGAAAAGGCAAGGACTCTGAGTGGCCAGCCATCTGGGCCAAGGTATCGCCAAAGGGAGTTCAGTATTGTAGAAACCACTTCATGAAGAAGAAGTGCCCAGGGAACTGTGGTCGATCACACAACTGTCCTATGCTCAAGAATGGATGGGCCTGCAACGCAGCCCCATCAGAACATACCCCAGACCAGTGCCCACACCGTTGACTCCTGAAGAACACGGTAGCCCCGGGCACCGAGTTTCAGAAGGAGCCCACAACGGTTGCAACACAACACACATCCACCGCAGAACCACCAGCTGGGGGGCCTCCCCCACCTCGAGCACAAAACCCTCACCCACCACAACCCCACACAATCGGGGGGAGAGGTTGACAAGCCCCTCAAGCTTTGCCCCTGGCTGAAGTCAGTCCCTTCCAGGCTCCTGGAACGGTTGACATGGGCGAAGGCACCCACTGCCGCGCTGCAGGGGAAGGGGAAGGACATCTTGCTCCTCTATGAGGGGCTCAAGGATGGGGACGCCCTAGATGAGACTTTGGCACACCTCCAGCCAGACTTGGCACAGAAGACCCTGGCCATCGATATCCGGCGTAAACCGGAGGCACATCCCAATCACATCTTGGACGATGGATTCTACTCTAGCCGGGCCCCGGCTGCAAACAAATGCTCATCGATTTGGGCCACTGAGGTGTACGACCAATGGGCAAAGACGGTACGCCACAACAAAATTCATCTAGACCAATGCAGGCTGGGCCAAGTGGTCCAGAAGAGCACCACTCTCTCGACGGACCTTCCCCTGCATCATTGGCAAGGGCTTGAGTGCAACCAT